GTGTCTGGTGCTGTCTGTAGCCTTGCAGGGACTGTCAGCCTCTGCCTGCTGTGCCCTCCACCCCAAAACTGCCGTCACATCCAAACAGCCTCCCTGGGCACAGCACCTGCCTGGCCCAAAAACGTGCTCAGGCACTGTCTGGGAAAGTGCTGCTTGGCACAGGCCAAGGCCTGTGGGTGGCTAACAAACAGGCTTGGATGATCACAGGCTGCTGCTGCTGCTTAAGTCCACACCTTGGCTCTGTTTCATTTACTAGTGTAAACAAAGCCTTTGCTGCTGTCTGTGTTATCCATCCTTGAGTGATCCTGAAGGCAGGAAGAGATCTCCTGGGAGTGACTGCTTGGCAAGTCACCTTGCAAAACAAAACAGCACCAAAAGTAAAGGAGCCCATGTGGCATTCTGACTTGGCTGAATATTATTACTTTGGAAGTTTAGTGTCTTCAACATTATTATCTGTCAGGTGTCATTAAGGAAACTGCATAAACTGGCAGAGGGTGGGATTAGATTGGGTATTGGGAAGGAGTTGTTCACTGTGAGGGTGCTGAGACACTGGCACAGGTTGCCCAGAGCAGCTGTGGCTGGGCCACTGTGAGGGTGCTGAGACACTGGCACAGGTTGCCCAGAGAAGCTGTGGCTGCTCCATCCCTGGAAGTGTTCAAGGCAAGGCTGGAGCAACCTGAGCTAGTGAAAGGTGTCCCTGTCCATGGCAAGGGGTGGAACTGAAGGATCTTTAAGATCCCTTCCAACCCAACCTACTCCATGATTATGTGATGTCCAGAGAGGTGCTGGGGGGGGCTGAACATAGTTGGTGTGAGGATCTGAGATGATCCTCAGAGATGAGATAATGAACTGGAGTTCATTATCCCATCTCCAAGAAGGGCCAGGCACCAGGAGTAGTGCCCCAGGGGAGTGTAACACATGGGACAGGGATGCAGATGTTGATTCCTGGTGCATCTTTGGAGCAGCTGATGTCTTAGATTTCCTACACCCATTCAGTGGGGGACTGTACTGTGTCTCATGGTCCCTTGGTGCACCTGCCACCAACTGTTTTGGAACCAGTTTGTTCTTCCCCATTGCACCATGTCAGTGAGGCCTCTCTGTGTTGTGTTTCTTGTCCAAACAAGACTTGTTTATCAAGGGAAAACAAGACCAATCTTCCAAAATCACTTCTTTTTATATCTTTCATGGCCCTTTGTGCCTCTCATCCATCCTGCCCTTCTCTCCTGGTGGGCAATTGTTTCCTACTGAAGTTGTTCTGTAGCAAATATCTGTACCTTTTCTAGAGGTTTGAGCACAACATGATCCTTTTTGAGATGGATCAGTGAGGAATGTGTGTCACTTGGAAGATGGTCAAGATGCAGTGCCATAGTATTTCCTGCCTTATTCCTTTCCCAACAACTACTAGCGAGTTCTTAACCTTTTTGCTTCTCTTGAGCACTGAGCTGAGGCTTTTTGAGAGCTCCCTGGTGACTTCAAAGCCTTTGAGATTTGGCTGCTGATTTGCTCTGTGGCACAGCTGGGGTTATGCTTTAATCAGCTGTAAATACTTTTCAGTTATTAATACTAAATTTCCAGCTCTGTTTTTCTCACAAGAACGTTGCAACTTCTTCCAGACAACAACAGACCCTCCTGGGTTGTTCTCTATGTCCAGCAGTGTTGTCACCTCATGGTCCCTTCCCTTTCTAGCTGTGAATGACTGACAAGTCGGTTTGTGTCAAACACTGATTCCTGCCTCAGGTCTTGAGCAGATGTCAATAAGCACAGCCAGGGTAGGGTTCACATTTAGGGGTTGTTGATAAACACAGCTCAGGCCTCCACCCAGAAACTCCCTAGTCTGATGCTGAGTGAGCTCATCTTCCAATTTACAGGTCAGGTAGGTGATCCTGTCCCTCTGCTCAGTCCTTGTAAGGCACATTTGGAGTGCTGTGTCCAGTTCTGGGCTCCTCAGGACAGGAGTGACATGGAACTTCTGGAGCAGGTCCGGGGAGGGCAACAAAGATGCTGAAGGGACTGGGCACCTCACTTAGGAGGAAAGGCTGATGGAGTTGGGCCTGTTCAGCCTTGAGAAGAGACACTGCGAGGGACCTCATTAATGGTCTCTCCTGCCATGCCTGCAGGAGAGAGTGCATGCCTGCACTAGAGGGAACAGTAATAAGCTGAGACAAGGGAGAGTTAGATTAGATGTTAGGAAGAATTTCTTCCCTGTCACAGTGTTCAAAGCACTGGAATAGGTTGCCCAGGGAGTTGATGGAGTCACTATCCCTGGAAGTGTTTAAGAGGTGTCTGAGTCTGATGCTGGAGGATATGGTTTAGGGCTTACAGCAGTGACAGGTTAACAGTTGAACTTGATGATCTGAGAAGTCTCCTCCAACCTTGATGATTCTATAAGTGTATACAAGGATCTGAAGGGGTGGGTGCCCATAGGAAGGATCAGGCTCTTCTCAGTGATGCAAACCAACAAATCAAGAAGCATTGGGCAGAAACTGATGCCCAGGAAGTTACACCTGAACATGAGGAAGAACTTCTTCCCTGTGCAGTGACTGAGCACTGACCAGGCTGCCCAGAGAGGCTGTGGAGTCTCCCTCAGTGGAGGGAGGGAACCATCAGGATTCAATCCTGTGCCATGTGCTCTGGCCTGACCCTGCTTGAGCAGGGAGGTGGGTCTAGATGCCCCACTGTGGTCCCTTCCAACCTGACTGATTCTGGGCTTCTGGGACTCATCAGGCTCTGTTTTCCCTCAGACACGTGCGGAACGGGGCGGTGATCGCGCGCTGCAGCCAGCCCGAGATCAGCTGGTGGGGCTGGCGGAACGCCGACGACGAGTACCTGGTGACATCCATTGCCAAAGCCTGTGCCTTGAACCCCGGGGCCAAGGCCTCCGGCGCCGCGCTGCACGCCGGGAGCAGCGACGGCAGCGAGGCCTGCGACGCCGACTTCGGTGAGACAGCTCCTTCCGTCCCATGCTCCTAACACAGGCAGCACTTGGTGCTTCCAGCACCTTCCACTGGGGCAGCCCTGGTGGCAGCAGTAGCACTGAGGTGTTGGGAGCACTGAGTTATCCATGACCCTGAGCTGAGACAGGGGAGATTCAGATTAGCTATTAGGAAGAATTTCCCTGTTCGGGTGTTCAGGCACTGACTGGAACATTGCCTGTTTGGGTGTTCAGGCACTGACTGGAACATTGCCCAGGGAGGTGGTGGAGTCACCATCCCTGGAGGTGTTCAAGAGGTGTCTAGATCTAGTGCTGGAAGGTATGGTTTAGGGGTTCCAGCAGTGACAGGTTAATGGTTGGACTTCATGGTCTTAGAGGTCTCCTCCAACCTTGATGATTCTGTGATTGTATGAATATTACCGAGGGAGGTGGTGGAGTTATCATCCCTGGAGGTGTTTAAGAAGCATCTGGATCTATCACTCGGTGATACAGTTTAGGGATTGCACCTGTGACAGGTTAAGGGTTGGACTTGATCTTGCAGGTCTCTTCCAACCTTGATGAGTCTGTGATTCTATGTGGCATATCCTGGGCCCTGTCACGCCATGAATATGCAGTGTGTGGGGTGGGTCTTTGGTGGCACTGGTGTTGTAGGAGGGAGGGTGGTGCTGGGAGCTCAAGCCCTGTCTGTCCCTGCAGACTCATCCCTGACGGCTTGTTCGGGCGTGGAGAATGCAGGAACTCCTCAGAAGCTGCTGATCCTTGATGCCAGGTCCTACACCGCGGCCGTGGCCAACAGAGCCAAGGGAGGTGGCTGCGAATGTGAAGGTACCAAGGGCCAAACACATCCCAGTCTGTCTTGGATCTGCCTTGTAGTGAGTCCTAGAGTGCAGCTGAGGGTTGGGTCGTAGTTTGGTACTTGGTTTCTGGGAGTACGTTCCTACAGGAAGATCTGGACAGGCTGGATGATGGGCTGAGGCCAATTGCAGGAGGGTCAATAAGGCCAAGTGTTGCATCCTGCACTTGGGTCACCACCACCCCATGGAATGCTCCAGGCAGAGGACAGAGTAGCTGGAAAGCTGGAAAAGGCCCTGGGGTTGCTGATCAGGAGTGGCTGAACGTAAGCCCAGGTGTATCCAGGTGGGCAGGAAGGCCAATGGCATTGACTTGTACCAGCCATAGTGTGGCCACAGGCCCAGGGCAGTGATTGTCTCCTGTGCTGGACACTGCTGAGGCAGCTCCAGTCCTGGGCGGAACATGAGGTGCTAGAGCATGTCCAGAGAAGGGAATGGACCTGAGGAAAGAGCTGGAGCACAAGAATTGGCTGAAGGAGCTGTGGGGGCTCAGCCGGCACAAGAATTGGCTGAGGGAGCTGTGGGGGCTCAGCCTGGAGAAAAGGAGGTTCAGGAAGGATCTTCTCATTCTCTACAACTCCCTGCCAGGAGGTGCAGCCAGGTGGGGTCAGGCTCTGCTCCCAGGGAATAAGGGGCAAGGTGAGAGGAAGCAGCCTCAAACTGTGCCAGAGGAGGTTCAGGATGGGCATGATGAGGAATTTGTTCATGGAAAGGGCTGTCAGGCATTGAAAGGGGCCATCTGAGTCACCATCCCTGGAGGGGTTTAACAGATGTGTAGATGTGGCACCTGGGGACATGGTTAGTGGTGACTTCGGGGGAACAGTTGGACTCAATGACCTTAGAGGTCTTTCCCACCCTTACTGACTGCATGAAGACCAGAAATGGTTTGTGAGGGGACAGCTGCACTCAGGGTGTGGTGGCAGCAGCTCCCTCTGATTGTTCTGTCTCTCCTGTCAGAGTATTACCCAAACTGTGAAGTTGTGTTCATGGGCATGGCCAACATCCACTCCATCCGCAACAGCTTCCAGTATCTCCGTGCTGTCTGCAGCCAGGTGCCAGACCCCAGCAAGTAAGTGACTTCTCTAGCTGAGTTTGACCCTGTCAGTGTCTGTGGTGGTTTTCCCTCCCTTTTCCCTTTTCCTATCCCAGCTTTCTACCTCAGAAATGGATAGGTATGTGCTCAGAGTGCCTGAATGCTGCTTGTTTTGGTGCGTTGATCCAGAAGGATTGCAGCACTGCCATGTGTCATCTGGTTGTGTGTGGCCTCTGAGGGGTTCTAGAATGTGGCTGATTTGGGAAAAATTCCATTAGACATTGGATTCTTTGCCCTTCCCAGGCTGCCTGGCTCCTCTGGGCCATGTTTTAGGCAAGGTTGATGTTCACTGAGGACTCTAAGAAGATTGAAGTTAAAATATGTATCTTTATTTTTCACCGGAGGGTTAAACAACCATTTTCTTGCTTTTTTTCCCCTCCTTTCTAGCTGGCTTTCAGCCCTGGAGAGCACCAAGTGGCTGCAGCACCTGTCTGTCATGCTGAAGGCAGCAGTGCTGGTCTCCAGTGCCGTGGACAGAGAAGGACGACCAGTGCTGGTTCACTGCTCAGATGGCTGGGACAGGACTCCACAGATTGTGGCACTGGCAAAGATTCTCCTGGACCCTTACTACAGGACCATGGAGGTATCATTGTGTTCTGCTGCAGTTTTGCTCAGAGTCCCATGGAAAAGGAGCAGGATCACAGTTGGGAATGAGCTTAGTGGTGTTTCTGAGCTGCTGTTGGGTCTGTTGGGTTTTTCCCTGTTCTCTTCCTGCCTGTTTTCAGGAGGAACCAGTCTTGGGAAGTACTGTGTGGTTCAGCTGCTTTCCTGCTCTTAGTTCTCCAAGCTTGTTATTGTATAAAACAACAACTGTTAGTTTGTGTTTGGAATCCTCCACACTCAGCTCCCAAACCACCACTGCAACCTCCTTCCCAAGTTTACCTGACCCTGCTGGCAGCTGGGCCTTGCCTCATCCTGCTCTGTGCCCTCAGCAAAGTCTCTGCAGTTGGTTTCTCTTTTCTTCACAGGGTTTCCAGGTGCTGGTTGAATCAGACTGGTTGGATTTTGGTCACAAGTTTGGGGATCGCTGTGGTCACCAGGAGAAGGTGGAAGACCAGAACGAGCAGTGCCCAGTTTTCCTGCAGTGGCTGGATGCTGTTCATCAGCTTCTGAAGCAATTTCCTTGCCTCTTTGAATTTAATGAAGCTTTTTTGGTAAGAAATGTACATGGAAATGTGTCTTTATCCCAGATGTGAGCAGAGGCTGAGGGAAAGTCCATGATATTTTACAGTATTGAAAGAAAACAGATCTGCAGAACCCAAGAGATTGAGCAGTGATCATGGAATCATGGAATGGTTTAGCAATTTCCTTGCCTCTTTGAATTTAATGAAGCTTTTTTGGTAAGAAATGTACAGTACATGGAATCTTTATCGCAGATGTGAGCAGAGGCTGAGGGAACGTCCATGATATTTTACGGTATTGAAAGAAAACAGATCTGCAGAACCCAAGAGATTGAGCAGTGATCATGGAATCATGGAATGGTTTAGGGGATGGGGCGGCCACAGATTCTCTGGGCAATCTGTGCCAGAGCCTCAGCACCCTCACAGCAAAGAACTCCCTCTTAATATCTAATCTAAATCTCTCCTCTGTTAGTTTAAAACCATTCCCCCATGAACATACCCATGAGGAAGGGCTTATATTCTCTGGTTATTCTGAATCCCTTCTCCAGGACCTTTCCAGCCTGGGGAATTCAGACACCAGCAGCAGCTCTGCTCTGATTTGCATATCTCGGAGGTGATGAGCCTGAAACATTTAAAAACAGAAATTAGGGGGAAAAAATTAACATCTCTTACCAAGCAATGCAGGGAATGGTTGCAGAGTGATGGGTTTGGCATCAGTTGAGTCACAGAATATATGGAGTTGAAAGGGAACCTTGAGGGTCATCTAGTCTAGACTGTCACTTTCCCTTCTATCTCAGTGATCCCTCTTGCTGTCCCTTATGGAAGTGAGGACAGCAGTGGGGTAGTGTTAAGGAATCCCTTCAGTGCAGGTAGCTCGGTGTGCAGCTGCAGCTGGAGCTGTGGGTGGAGGAGCCCCAGGCAAGGGGCTTCGAACTGCTCCTCCTTTGCATAACAAAGGGCACGGGGAGGGGAGGACCAGGAGCCACTGTTTCCCTCTGGCCCTGACAGTTGTTCCCTTTCCATGCTGCAGGTGAAGCTGGTGCAGCACACATACTCCTGCCTCTACGGGACCTTCCTGGGGAACAGCCCCTGCGAGCGGGAGATGCACAACATCTCCAAGCGCACCTGCTCCGTGTGGTCCCTCCTGCGTGCTGGCAACAAGAACTTCCACAACCTGCTCTATGTGCCAGGATCTGAGCAGGTCAGTACCACCTCCTGGCCTGGCTTTCCAGGCTTTTCCCAGGCCCCAGGGAAGGTGTGGGGAGAGGCTGAGGGGTGTTTCTTTGGTATTCATGTCTGACCATGAGTGGTGGTTGCAGGTGCTGCATCCCGTGTGCCACGTGCGTGCGCTGCACGTCTGGACAGCTGTGTATCTCCCAGCTTCCTCACCTCATCCTCTGGGACAGGATGACATGGACATCTACATGCCCCCTGGATCACAGAGCCAGGAGTTCAGTGGCAGGTGTTTGGACAGGTAAGAGCCTAGAGCTCCCAGCCTAGATTGGTGTCTACCTACAGAGCTTCTTGCTCTCTTTGTAGTTCCTCTGGTTGACATGTTGTTCTCATCTTCACTGTAGCAGTGTCCCAACCACTCAGAGTAGGAGGTGTGCAGCTCCCTGCTGCTCCTCAGAGGCAGATAGTGGAGGCCACACTGTAGTGTTGTGTCAGTCATAGCTGAGACAGGGGAGATTCAGATTAGATGTTAGGAAAAATGTTTTCCTTGTTAGAGTGTTCAGGCACTAGAATATTGCCCAGGGAGGTGGTGGAGTCACCATCCCTGGAGGTGTTTAAGAGGTGTCTGGATCTGGTGCTGGAAGATATGATTTAGGGGTTACAGCAGTGACACGTTAATGGGTGGCCTTCATGGTCTTAGAGGTCTCCTCCAGCCTTGATGGTTCTATGATTTCAGCTGCTGCAGCTGCTCTGTCCCTCCCCATCCACCTCACAAGCTGTAATTGGGAACATTTCCCTTCCCTCATCAGATTTGACTGAAACAAGAAGTTCCATAGGGTTTATTGTAAGATTTGCTTTGCTTTTGGGTTCTAGATTACCAAAGACAAGATCTATGGATGACCTGCTCTCAGCCTGTGACTCCAGCAGCCCTCTGACCCGCACATCCAGTGATCCCAACCTGAACAACCACTGTCAGGAGGTCAGGGTGGGCCTGGAAGCTCGACACCCTACTCCTGAGGGAGCTGAAGGTGCCCCAGTGGCTGCAGGAGGAGAGCAATGGCAGGTGGAGGAAGAGAAGGAGAAGGAGGAGAACCCTCCCCTGCAAGACAGCACTGCTCACAGCAGCTGTGCTGAGCAGGAGGGGCAGAGCAAGCAGCAGGGCAGCCAAGCTGCTGTGCCAGCCAGCACTGGCTCTGGGGAGGTGGAAAAGGGAAATGGAACACACACTGAGGAACTGGATGGCACAGGGTCAGCTCCAGATCCTTCCAGACAGGAAAATGTTGACAAGGTTTCCACCAGTCCTGGAAAGCAGATAGAAACCTGTCCCCAGGAGCCTTTGAAGGCTACTGGCATGGTGTTCAATGGAGGAGGCTGCCCCAGGAGAATCATCACCCGCCAAGACATTCCCAGCCCGGAGCTCCTGGTACCACCAAACACCCCTTGTCCAGTTACCCCAGAAACAGACAGGGGCAGAGGTGATGGATGTCGGAGCACACTCTGTGAGGAGCTCACCCGGCCGGGGAGAATCCCCCTGGAGCAATGGCGCAAACCCATTTCCCAGAGCCAGAGCAGCGAGTTCTCCTTCCTGGGCTCCAACTGGGACAGCTTTCAAGGCATGGTGGCATCCCTCCCCAACGGGGAACCTGCCCCCAGACACCTCCTGCCCTATGGCTGCTGTGGCAAGAGGTTGAGCAGCAAACCCCTGCGTGCCCCAGGCCTGTGCCTCAGCAGCCAGTGGTCAGCCAGGGAGGGTGGGAAGCCCTTGGGCTGCCCTGGCCACTTCCCAGGCTCTGCAGGGAAGTTCACACGTCCCTGGCTGCCCTGCCACCTGAAACAAGCCTCTGGGCCCAAACACATGCCACCAAGATGTCCTTCTCCTGTGCCTCCGGTGTACGTGAACGATGATGATGGGCTGCCCTTCCCCACGGACGTGATCCAGCACCGGCTGCGGCAGATCGAGGCCAGCTACAAGCAGGAGGTGGAGCAGCTGCGCAGGCAAGTGAGGGAACTGCAGCTGCGCCTCGACATCCGCCACTTCTGTGCCCCTCCAGCCGAGCCCCCCATGGACTACGAGGATGACTTTGTAAGTACCACCATCTCACACCACAGCCCTGGCAGTGTGGGGGGCCCTGTGCCACACACACCACTGGAGGTGACTGGGGTCACCCGGGACTATACTGAGGGTGACTGGGATCATGCTAGAAGGGACTGAGTGACTTGAGACCATGTTGGGGGTGACTGGGGGCACCTGGG